GGCAGGCTCGGGCCTTCCCTCGGCGCCGCCTCGCTGGGGACGGCAGCGGGGCGGGAGGGGGGATCTCTCCCGCTCAGCGCCGTCAGCTCCGCCGGTGAAGCTGCCCCAGGGTCTCCCTCGCGCTTCTCTGAACTAGCTCTGGCCTTTGGGCAGCTACGCGGCGAGTCCCGCCGGCTGGCTAACGCACCTGGCAACCGCCCTAGCAACCGGCTAGTTGCTCTGCTTGTAAAGGTTAGCTTGGGTCTGGTCAGAGGAGCAGCCCGTCTGTAGGAAGGGACGGGAAGGCGAGGTACAGGGAAGGAAGGACTGGATCAGCCTTTCTGCAGCACCTGGTCGGAGAGCCTCCCGCGAGGGAGTGGGAGCAACAAAACTTTTTAGAATGGCGGCAGGTTGGTTACAAAAGAATGGCTAGTGAGCTGGCTGCTACCCAATGGCTGGATTTGTAATTAATCTGTTAATGCAGGTGGTTGTGATCAGAGTAGTTATTTAATAGGTGCTTTTACAGAGACATTACAACTCGCTCTGAGACTCTCTTGTAGCACTGTAAAATTATTTTAATGTAGGAGTGTGTCCCAGTTACAGAAAGGAAAAACTTTTTATGGCATCAGACTTACATCATGCACATGTATTTCTGTAGCAACATGTTTTGAGCTTGGTTGGTTCTGTGCATCATTCAGATTATTGATGTGTGAATAGATTGGTGAAATAAACTGTATATACTCTAGATAGTAACAAATTTTATGTAAACCACTTGTTATACAGAAAATGTTATCCAAAATTCTGCTCCAGTGTGTCCTTTAGGTACAAGTCAAGGTCTTTCTGTGTGGTAGCTGTCAAGGAAACGTTTTTTGATCAACAGTTCTTGGCGTAATAAAATGCTGTAATAAGATGTTTTCTGTTAGTTTTCTATAGGACTAGTGACTTGAACTGGCTCATGAGAGACTGGAGAAGTGCCAGAGCACATGTTCAGTGTGCAGGAAGGAGGGGGAATATGGAATAGCAACCTTTTTCTTCTGATAACAGGACTGTTACAACCTTAGTTTGTAGTGACCTTGGGTTAATTATACAGCTGTTTTACAAAAAGATCTGGGGCTGAATGGAACCTCAGAATACCATTTTAGTAAGCTCAGTTTACTGAACTGGGGTGTAATCACATTTTCCTAGACCACTGCTGGTAGATGTTTGTCTAACATTCTTAAAACTTTACTCTGGTATTGACATCAGTGGTTGCTGTCCCTTATCTACATTAAACAGACCCAGGCCTTTAACTTCTTGTTTTAGGCTATGTTTTCTAACTCTGTTCCTATTTATGGAGTAGTCCCAGTTTTCTATCACCTTACATCTGTTTCTGGGGTTGAGATTCTGTCAGAATGGGAGTATCCAGGAAATTTCTATTCCCTGTTGGCCTTGGTTAGGTGCAGGGCTGTAAAATGGAAAAGGGAATGATGAGTGCTGTAGGTCTGGTCCTTTGTAAATAACCAGATTTGGGAATATCAAGCCTGTACCTGTTTGTTTGGAGAACTGGGTTTGGTGGGGTGTTTTTCCCCCCCCAAGTAAAACAGTGGCTTCTGTCCTGACCAACAGCTCTTGGTTCCAATGACCTTCTCCTCTTCTTCCACAGAAAGTGTTCATCATGTTGGGCTCTGGGTTCAAGGCTGAGCGCTTGCGAGTCAACCTGCGTCTTGTCATCAACCGTCTCAAACTGCTGGAGAAAAAGAAGAGTGAGTATTTGAGGGGGCAGGTGTGATGCAGGGTGCTTCTGGGGCTCAGGAGAGTTGAGAAGGTTCTTCTGGAATCAGGGTATTTTCATGGGTGAGTGTGGAGTTGCCTTTTGCTCTTCCTTGCTGGACCCTGGCCTTGCCATCTGCCCGGATGTGTGAGTGCCTGGAGGAACTGACTGGCTATGTGGCTTCTGTCCATCTTCCTGGCAGGTGTCGGGGTGCTATTTATGGGGTGCATGGGGTGGTAGCTGTGGGCTGTCCGTGGGGGGACATGCCGGTTTGCCGTGGGGGCCCTTTCCTGTGCTCAGTGTAGCAGGGAACTTCCTGGGTGCTGTGGGAGGCTCTCCCCACCCATGCTGTGCTGTCCTGCCCTGCCCAGACACAGATAAGATTCATGGTTCTGATTGACTCTCCAGGGAAATTGAGGGTGTAGTAGTGTTTTTAGCAGCTCAAAGCCCACTCCTTTCTCCTGTGAGTTAGTGTGTTAGGACCTGGAGAGTGTCCTGCACTGCAGAGGCTTGATGAAGGGGAGAGAGGAGCTTTGTGTGTGGTGGGGACTGTGGGCTGGTACGGAGGCAGCAGCCCCTGCCACCGTGGTGACTGGCCTTGGGGATGTGTGCTGCAGCCGAGCTGGCCCAGAAGGCAAGGAAGGAGATAGCAGATTATCTGGCAGCTGGCAAAGATGAGCGTGCCAGGATTCGTGTGGAGCATATCATCCGTGAAGATTACCTTGTGGAGGCCATGGAGATCCTGGAGCTGTACTGCGATCTGCTGCTAGCCCGCTTTGGCTTGATTCAGTCCATGAAGTAAGCTCTGGCCTAGGGGGTATCCTGTGGGAGAGGGGCCAGGCCCCTTGGGCTCAGGGAGGGGTACAGCTGGGGGCAGGCCTGGGATGCAGAAGGGCTCCTGTGTTTGTCTCGGTGTCCTAGGGCCTCCAGAGACCAATTCCTCCCCAGGTAGGAGAGTCTCTGGGGCCCAGCGTAGAGGATGGGGACTTCTAGGCTAAGCAGCCTGAGGGCAGCAAAGACTAGGTGCTTGATGTGGATTGTCTTCTCTTGTCCTTAGGGAGCTGGACTCTGGCCTGGCAGAAGCGGTGTCTACACTGATTTGGGCTGCACCACGACTCCAGTCAGAAGTGGCTGAGTTGAAGATTGTGAGTAGGGTTGTTTGAGGGGTGTCAGTGTGTGTGGGGGTGACACTGCCAGAAGCTGGTGGCGGCCTTTGTCCAGGACTCTGTTGTTAAGGCAGAGGACAGGTTTTTATGGGGTCTGAGATAACTCAGTATTGGTATCCCTAGAGCACCAGGGGCAGCTCAGCTGGGAGGGGGGCAGGCAACTCTAGGGGCTACAGCAGATGTTCAGCGTGTGCTGGGGGAAAACAAGAGTGTGCACGTTCCCAGAGTTTCTCTCCTGCTGCAGGTTGCTGACCAGCTGTGTGCCAAGTACAGCAAGGAGTATGGGAAGCTGTGCCGGACAAACCAGATCGGGACAGTCAATGACAGGGTAATGAACTGGTGGAGCAGCTGCAGCTGGCAGAACAGGCATGCCTGTTGTGGCTTTCCTGTGGCCAGTGGCTGATGCCTGTGGCTCACCGCAGAGCAGGGTGGGCCAGCTGTGCTGCGGGGGGCTTGCCCGCGTTGGAGCGCGGTGCTGGGGTCCCTGTCAGCAGGGGGCCCTGCTGTGCTGGCTATGCACAGAGAGGAGCAGAGCACGTGCAGCCCCGGCCCGTGGTGGCCAGCAGACTCCTTGGCAGCGCCGTGCTGGGAGGAAAGGCCTCGCTGGGGTTGCGCCATGCTCCCTGCAGCGGGTGGCCCTGACAGGGTTAGAGCTGGAGCTGCCCCGCTCCCACTGAGTGTCCTGCACCTGTCTGTTCCAGCTGATGCACAAGCTGAGCGTGGAGGCGCCGCCCAAGATTCTGGTGGAGAGATACCTGATCGAGATCGCCAAGAACTACAACGTGCCCTACGAGCCTGACTCGGTGGTGATGGTGAGTGAGAGAGTCTGCAGGGAGCTCTGTGTCCTGTCGGTGCTGCACAGCACAGGCTGGGGCATTGCAGCAAACTCGGTGGTGTCTGTGCTCTGGTATCTTACAAACAGCACAGTCCCTGCTCCTTCCCACAGTCATGCTATAGCCCGGTTCCCTCGCAGATTCCCATTAATTGATATCGCCGTGTAGCTGCTGTGTGTTCTGTGCCTGTTGTCCCATCTTGTCCATGACAAATGCTGTGTCCAGTGCTGTTCAGAGGGCTGTGATCAGAACGGGGGTGTGTTGGTGAGCAGAACTCTTCCACCCTTTCCAGGCTGAAGCCCCTGCAGGTGGAGAGGCAGATCTAATTGATGTGGGATTCACGGATGATGTGAAGAAGGGTGGCCATGGAGGGGGAGGAGGTGGTGGATTTACAGCCCCGCTGGTCGGTCACGATGGGCTAGTGCCCATGCCTGTGATGATGCCGATGCCCATGCCAACGCCGAATCCGCCCTTCTCCTACCCGCCTCCAAAGGGACCGGTAAGTGCCTTTGCTTTGAGCATTCCTTTTTTCTATGGAAGACCCCGATTGTGGTGCTTAGCCTGGTGCCTGCTGACTGGGAAGTGTCTGTACCTGAGGGCTTGATGTGTCAGGAGCCATCGTGTTGGCGTGAGACTGGGGCGGGCGGGAAGCTGCTGGCAGTGCAGCTGAAGCTTCATGTTGTTTCTTGACCGTGGAGGTTCCTACCCCTGTTCTCCAGCCAGCCCTCTTTGCCTTCAGGGAGCAGAGGAGTCCAGACTTAACTCCTGAGGCAGTCTTCTGACTGCCAGGCTTTTGACCAGTGGTTGGAGCTGCACTTTGAGGTTGGTAGGCTGGTAGTGTGCCAAGGTTCAGTCCAGGGAATCAGGTGAGTTTTGTGGGATGGGAACAGCACAGAAAAATGCGGAAGGACCCTGCCTGCAAAGGAAGAGGACCAGGCCAGTGGCTCTGGGAGGTGATTTCTTGCAGGGGTGGAAGGTGGGAGCCAAAAAGAGCACCCAAAATTAATTTATGGGATATCTACGTAGACTGGGGAGTGGCAGAACAGTGGGATGACCTGGAGTCTTCATACGGTACCAGCAGTGCTGCAGAGTCTTCTTGTGGAAAAGCTGGGCCAAGTATCAGCTGGCTGAAGGCCCAGGCATAAATATGCCAAGGACTCGTGCCAAGTCTGAGTCTTTGTGGCACTGTCATGTTACAAGGAAGGGTAACACAAAGCCTCGGGTGAGCCAGAGACCTGTTCTGTGATACTGCACTCAGGAGAAGTGGCTCAGGTGTGCTTAATGCAGGGTGTTACCTTTTTGTCCTGGTACTTCTGAGGTCTTGAAAGGTGAAGTATGCAGTCATGCTGGTTCTGCAGAGTAGCTCACAGTCCTGTTAGCTTGGTCTGGTTGCTCTTGGTGACTACATCTGACTTGAGAATCTTTTCCTAGTAATTGTAAACTCTCAGGATGGACACTTGCAAGCATTTATCTTACACTAATTTCTCTGACTCCTGTAGCAGCTGTAGGTGCATTGTGTCCCATGGTGGCTCTCCCAGGTGTGTAGTCTGGTGTGTGACTGTAATCTCTCTGTACAGGAGAACTTCAACGGCCTGCCAGTGGGGACCTACCAGCCTTTCGCTAACATCCATCCACCGCCGATCCCAGCAACCCCGCCGACATACGAGTCTGTAAGTGCCTGAGCGGAAGCACTGTTGTAGGCAGCCCAGGGAACCTCAGAAAGAGTGCAGCGGTAGCCACAAGAGACGCAAATGTTCATTAAGCACAGGGCTGGCAACCTTTGGAGCTTTTGGGTGGTGCTTGGTATTGGTTCTGGGTGTGGTGAATCACTGAGTGCATGTGACAGGAGTGACTGGTGAGGGGGAGTTCCTCATTCAGCTGAGTGTTTTGGCCGCAAGGGAAAGCCAAGATATATTTTACTGCATTGTTAAAATGGTGATACACAGTAGAGTCCACAAATTCTATTTTTTGGACTGTGAAGGGTTTATCACCATCAGTCTGTTTAGTTAACAGCTTTTGAACTAATTCATAGTAGCCTGGGTGACTGTTTTGGCTGACCGGATGGTGTATGTTTAAACACTCTTCCTTTCCCAGATCTTTCTTGGTCCTTGGAGATGACAAAGGGGAGGCTGGAGTCTTCTCCTGTGCTGGTGTATGTTTTTGTTGCTGCAGTTCACAATCCTGCCTCCCATTTTACTTTGTGACGTGCTTCTTGTTTCTGCAGTATCTTGAGTAGGGGTGGGTGTAGCCAAGCACCTGTGTGTGCTCACACCTGTAGTAGCTGCACAGCAGCTGTTGTGTCTGGGAGATGTGGGCACAGATGCGTCTGGGCAGGGGTGGGTGTCCCTGACTGCAGCCTGCCAGGAGTGAGGAGTTGTACCAGCACAACCAGCTGGGCCATGGGCCTTTGTCCCAGGTGGGCCGGGACATGAGCAGTGTCATTTTGTACCTAGCCAGTGGCTACAAGGACCTGTTTGCTGTGTGTGAAAGGGAGGAAGCAGCGGCTGAGATTACATGGGTGAAGAGGGCAGTCTTTTACCACTTAGGTCCTTGATAAGTATTTCAGACCTGCCAGCAGATAACGCTCTGTTTATCTGGTTCCAGAATGTGCCCAGTGAGGCTGTTTGGACAGGGAGGGAGGGAAAGTCGAAGCACTGCCTCCTTTTTTTGGGAAGAGGGGCAGATTCTCGTGAGCATGCTGGAAGCTGGGGCTGCCGCTGCCCTGGGGAGGGGCAGGGTGTGCATCATTCCACAGGGGTGCGGCTGCCTGCAGCCATCCCGCACACCCACACGGTTCTGTGACGGCAGCGGGGAGCAAGTGCCACGCTAACAGAGAGTCTCTTCCAGATCGATGAGCCTGATGCTGACAAGGAGGCTTCTGCGCCGGTGCCCGGTGAGTGTGGTGGGAGGGGAGGGAAACTGCGGGTGGCTGGGGCTGTGGTGAGCCTGGGTCCCCATGTCCCTGCGAGGAAGCATTCCGCAGAGGGGAGAGTGCACAGGGTGTGACAGGATTTGCGCTGGGAGAGGACTGATAGAAATGTGCCTTGTAGTTGGATTGTAATGAAATTCTCCCACCTTGTACAGCGCGATTCTGCTCTGTGTTCTGAAAGCACTCGTTATCTCTAGGACTTGATAAGGGCCGTGAGGGTTTTTAAAGGGATTTTAGACCTTCACCCTAGGTCCAGCCAGGATTTCTGGTGGTGCAGTGTGGCCCTCTGGGGAGCACTGGTGTGTGCTGAAGGAGGTGGGTCTGGGCATGCTGCGTCTGGCCGTGTGCTTCAGTCTGGCAGCTGGTGATGGCTGCTGATACACCTGGCATGTGTCTTCAGGGGGTTGCAGTGGAGAAAGTGGAACCCCTGTGGTGCAGCCCAGCCCGTAGCGGCGTGTGGGAGTGTCAGCCCGTGTCAGCCCGTCTCAGCAGGCAGTGCAGGGGCATCTCATGGTGTCTGGGGCGGCTCTGGGTGGGGTCACTAGCCCAGCTCTGCCACGGCTGCAGCCCTGTGCAGCGTGTGTGCCGCGTGGTGTGTGACCGCTGGGCCTATTCCGAAGGATGCGTTGGTACTGCCTTCTTGGTTAGTGTAGCTCTGTTTGACCTGGTGAGTGTCTGATGAGGGTGAGCTGAAATGTTACTACTCTCAACAGGGCCCGGGCCCAAGTCAGAAGCTTCTCCTAAACCGAGAGCTGGAGCTCCTAATACCGTCAGTAACTTTGTGCTGCCTGAGCTGCCATCTGTGCCCGATACGCTGCCAACAGCCTCTGCTGGCGCCAACTCTTCCACCTCTGAAGACATTGACTTTGATGATCTCTCTCGGAGGTTTGAGGAGCTAAAGAAGAAAACATAAAACCGATGGGGCTACAACTCCAGTGTGAGGCAGGAGTGGTGATGGCTGCTTCTCTCCAAGACAGACTTCCCTTTGAAACTTGTTTTTTCTCTATTAACCTCTGATGAATGCGCGCTCTTCTTGAACTGTTCCTGCTGTACTTAAACCAAGCGCTGCCACTTTCCCCATCTTTGTTGCTCCGGGAGGTGAACTGTGGGGAATGTTGTGAGATGGGTGCAGGGACCATCCCTGGACCCTGGGGGTGGCTGCACAGGAAAGCTCTGCTTGGCGTTGTCACGCTGTTCCTGGCTGCCCCCTGCCTGTAGTGCCTCCCCTGAGAAGGGAGGTGGAGGCTGGGACGGGGCTTTTCCCCCTCTAGCATCGACCAGGAGCGGCCGTGGGCTATGGCTGATTGAAGCTGTTGGGCAGGCTGCGGCCGAGCCGGCTCCACGAGCATGGCGGTGAGGGGACGCTGCCCGGCCCTGCCCTGCGCCTCTGCCTGCGCCGCCCCTTCCCCTCTCCCTGCCTCCGGCTGCTCCTGGTTGGGGTTTGCCCGACGTCCTCCTCTTTGCTGCCCCGGGGACCGACCCCTCCATGGCCTCGGCGGGGGGGAGGTCTCTGCAGGAGGGTGTCGCCAGGCGCTTTGCTGATGCTGCTGGGAGTGTGGGGGGGGCGAGCGGAGCACGGGCGGTGTGGGGAGG